TCAGGTTTCGTCAGACGAAACCATTGACGAAACTATTTCGTCAGGGCAAATTAGTTTCGTCAGGCATCATTAACTGTAACATCAAAATATTAGTCAAAAATGGTAATATTCATGGTGAACAGTGTGTCTATACATGAAATATCGTATATAAAGAAATTTTATCCAATTAAATCAGATACATTTTATAAATAAAGCAAGCATTTTATTGTAATAATAACCTCAATAAAACTAAACAAAAAAATACTGAAAAAAAACAAAGAATATATATATATATATATATGTACTTAAATATATATATGACAATAAATATATCTAACAAAATCTTATAAAAAAAAAATAAGTATACTTATGAAAAAAATAATAATAATAATATTTCAAAACACAACACACTACAAACACCAAAAGAATAGTAATAATAATGATAATAATAAAACTAAAATCTATATTTATACTTATTTTTCAAACTTAACCGAATTCGAATCACGCGAACCCAAATTACTATGTAAAAAACGTTCCACATGTCCTTTGCCCTTACTACATTAAACCTTTTTCTGATTTTTTTTACTCTTCACAGAATCTTCTACTACCTCTTGATTGCAATCAATTGAATCGTCATTCTCTTTCATACAAGACTCATAATCAACATTTACTGAATCTTCAAAAAAGTTATTAGAATCATCAACACATGCGTGTTTCGTTGAATCAGAATAACCTGTTAAACTCGAATTAACTGCATGATCGCTAGAACCACTCAAAACCCTGTCTTCTAATTTATCCTTAGAACTTCCAGTAATATTTTGATGAGTAACCAAAAGCTTAGAATGAACCGAATTTCTACAAGTCGAAGACTCTCGAGACGTATTACTATCATAAAACCTTTTCTTACTAATAAAGGTATATCAATATAATTAATCTCCTTAGCATACACATAAAATTCATTAGAAATTATTTCCATTTGTCCAACTACAAAAATCAAAGATTCCTGGAGACGAATCATATCTTTCAACTAGGGATTGGAACCGTTTAACCGTTTAAAAATTACACTATAGTTTCGGGCGGAATTATGTTGGTCATGAGCTGGAATTATTTTAATGCTGGCCAAATTAAACAGTTAAACAGTTAAACGATTAAACGATTAAGAAAAATTTTAGGCGGTTCCAATCCCTACTTTCAACCGCATTAATCGAGGATTGTGATGCGAAAAAACAACTTTCATCACAAAATTATGTTCCTGACCACAATAATCAGTTACTAACATTTTAATAACAGTATCATCCTGAATCTCGCTTGGCGCATCTTGAGAAATTCCAACTAAAGATACCTTTAAAGGACATTTATTCGATTCAGTAACTTTATTAAGAATAGTTACATGTATAGATGTTGATACTGTCATCTAAAATTTTTAAACTAGAAATTAATACACCCAAAATTATTACTAATATAATATGTATATATAAATATATATAATAATACCTTTGCCCTTCTAACACCACCATAATACCCAGAAATAATTTTACCACCCCACAGAAAAAAGTTATCTTTCTCAAAGATCACTTGAATCTCAGGATCTCTATCGTCCAAATTTAATGGCACGAACAAAGACATTTCGATATCATAATCTTCACGCTCTACAGGATAAGAGTCAAGAGCCCATATGACCAAAGAATTTATATCCTCATTTACATTCTGAGACATGTACTTGATCCTAACAATAGTATCTGCATAACATGGCATTGAAAAATTCAGTAAGCACAATAATAAGAAATTAAATAAATCTACATAAACAAATCTAAAATCAAAACCTCCAAAGACAACATCGACTTATATATGCATGGAAATATATTAAGAGGTAATTCGCCATTAAAGGGTATAAGCATCATATAAGCATCATAGTAAAAATCGGCGGGCATTACATATAGAATTTTAATA